CCTTTGGCTGGCTCCTACCTGCCAGACTGGGCACCTATCCCCATCTGCTAATTTGGAACAAAACAGAGGTGGCACTGGTCTTCTCAGATGAGTCATAAATTGGTTTGTTTGCATATCAGGCATTTCTGCATCACCTGCCTCATCTGAAACAGAATCTCGTCTTTCAAAGAATGGTGCTTGCAGTTCTTCAGACCAGGTTTTCTTTTTGTTTGTTTGAAATTTTCATATTGTCCTGGAATAGAATGACAGTTTGCAAGTACTGTTGTAAAAACATTTGGGTCATAAATTTCCCAGAAGAAATGTAATGTTTTTCCACTTAATTTAATAACTTCTTGTGGGCCTCTGGGATGAAGAGATTCCTCAGTGTCCTATGCATTCTTTGACATGTGGCTAATGCAACATGCTTTCCTAGGGGGGTGTTTTATAGAAAAGTGACCTTCTGCTAGGAAAACAAAATAACAACTCAATTAAAAGAAACAATGAAGGTCACACCAGTTTCCTTACTGAGGTGAAAAACTAAGCAGTGGAAACATAAGATGCATTTATTTTAACATATGGGACTTTGAGCATCCTGTGGAAAACTCATTGATATGGTAGAATTGCATTTTAGGATGCCTCTGGAGAAAGATGTGATAGAATTATTAAAATTTGCAAGAAAACATATTAATCAGTCATGTGTTAGAGCATTCAGCCTGGATGAATGAACACTTTTTGGGCAGAACCAAACAGCCATGGGAATGGTGGTCCCTAGTCTGTCACTGTCACTTGTCTGATTTTGGAGGAGTTACTTATGTCTCAACTAAGTAGCGTAGAAACAGCTGAACCCCAGAAGCAGCACAAGACCTTCCATGTGCAGATGTCAGGTATTAGAGTGCTGTGAGCATTCCCTGCCCACAGAGCAAGTCCACCCATCCTGCAGCCATGCTGCTGCTCTCATTAGCAAGCCACTCCATATGATCCCTTTCACAGCTGCCAAGTTCAGTGATCACTCCTTGGGGAGACTTTTAGGGCACTTTTAGGGGTTATCAGCCAGGTGACAACCCTGAATGCAGTGCTTATAAATGTTCCCAGCTTTTTGCAAAATTAATAAGAAAGCTCTTTCCTCTCTTCTATGTTAATGCCAGAACCAAACACAAGCTGACCTTTACCTCTAAGCCTCATTTTTTTTCAATTGCAAAAGTGACTTGCTGTTTACTTCAGAATAGTAACAGTGAGACACAATTCATTAGTGTCTGTGGATTTTTTGGAGGTGCTGGAATGAGAGGAGCTACAGAAGTGAGTATCTCTTCCATTAGAATTATATGACAGTGTCACTGAGAGAGTTTTCTGGAAACAGTGATGGTAGATGCTTCTTCCCAAATTACCACAAATACGCCCCCTCCAAAATTTGCTTTCAGGAGCAAATCTTTTCCAAAACTTGGGATATCTCTCAAACAGAAAATTCAAATGTGATTTACTCGACAAGCTTCTCAGGTATGAAATAGCTACATTTTCATACTTATAACTCTAAAATCTTCAGTCCATATTTCATAAGCATACAAAATTTATAGGAAAAAAAGGAGAATGCATTCTAAAAGAGAATGCATCCTCTCTTTCTTATTCTAAAAACCAGTTTTAATTTTAAAATAATCTGGAAATTTTGACCAGAGATGGAAGCCCTGACTTACAGAAAAATTAATACCTTATTAATTTTTACCTCAACTACCACCTTTCTAAGCAATCCTAGCCATTGTCAGCTGACCAACTAGCTATGAAAACAATGAGGTCCTGTGGATTTACTGGTGTATGTAAAAATTGAGGCTTCAGGTAATTCTACATCTCTGTCAACTGTTCCATGCATGGTGACAATACAAGCCTGCCAGAGGAGTTGCTTGGTAAATGGAATAGCTAAAGTCTTCAGCCACATTCAAAGTAGCAGTTTATTTCTGTTTTTTTCTCTACACCATTCCTTGTCAGATGTTTGCAAAAGCTATTTCTGAAATCAAAAAAACATGGTCTTCCTTTCCTTCCTCTATCCCCCCTCAGAGATGGCAATCTGAGGGCATCTTGCTGAAGGCATATGAAGTTACTCTTCAAGGTACTGCAAATGTCACCTCTTTTTCATATGAATCAGGAGAGTTAGAAAATCTGCACAATTATTAGACCCTAAGATAACATAAGACTCAAGAATTATTAGGCTCAAAAACAGAATGCAGTAAAATTATTTAATGAGTGTTCCTAGTAACCACTTTTGTGCTCAGAATAAAACATGCAAACTCCTTTCCAAAGACTTGAAGCTAAGAATTTTAATAGGCTGAATGATTTGTTTCCCTAATGCATTCACCAAGTGCAGCAAGCTGATTAAAATACTGGATACTGTAGAACTTTTTTGTTTCTGGTCTATAGACCTCAGCTTATACATCATTAACCATGTATTACAGGTACACACAGCTATTTTACACATAAGGGAAAAACAAAATGGAATTTGTATGTGCAGGATGTTGATTTTGACATTTTCCTTTTGGAATGGTAAAAAAGTAAAGAAATTGAGAACAGGCTTTGTAGGAAGTCCTCCTTCTCCAGTGAGAACTGTACCTGTATGAGAAGGCAATGAATAGACAAAAGCAATCCACTGGGTGAATCAAAACAGCTTTCAGTAAATATGTGGTGATGGTCTTTTTGTGTAAAAAGATGGTCTTTTTATGTAAAAAGCCTTTAATACAAAATAGCTGTTCTATTAGAGAATGTGATAGATAGCTGAAAAGCAGCTTGCCAAAGGAAAGCTTCTTCAGAGTTTGGGGATAATTCTGTAATTACCTTACTGACACAAATTTATGTTCCTATTTAGGAACAAATCCACATATTAATTTTACAGGACCTCTATAAAAAGGAGACAGGCTTAAGAAGCACCAGAGCTTACTGTAGAGCTGTGTAAAGTACTTCTGAAATTCTGAAACTTTACTCTTCATTTAAGTGAATTACAGAAAACTCTAAGTGCAGACTAGAACCCCCCCCCCCCCCAAAAATACGTAAAGCAAATATTAATTAATAAATGTGTAATTCAGTGAAGAGGGTGTTTTTCTCTTTATTACTGAACCCATTTTTTCAAATGTGACCTGTAGAACACTTAAGTCACAGGAAGGCCTTTTCCTGGAGCTCTCAAAATTTCAAGCAATAGTTTCCAGAGAAAAAGGGTAGAGTGAATGCAACTATCTCAAATGAATTGCTTTGTATTTTTTAGCAAATACAGTCTACATAGTTCTTACAGTTGTTTTTCATCTTTTCTTACAGATGATATTTCAACTTATTCCATCAAGAATTTATAATCTAAAGTTTAGATTCAGAGACATGAGGCAGAGGTTAAATTTATGCATGTCAGGTCTCAGCAAAGTCAGTGAATCTCAAGCATAGGTTTAAAAAGATTTAAAATTAAAGTCCTTTATAATGATACTCTGAGCACACTGCCACTTTCTTGAACTGGTACATCTATTCAGTGAGCCACTGCAGCAGGATTATTATTTACCCTGAGCTGAGCTCAAAAGAATTTTAGTGGCTGTCAAGTCATGTTTACACATTGATAGCGTCACTTTTTAGCTAAGTGACCAACAACATGGTTGGTCTGATTACAGTGGCTGAGAACACCTTCCATAAAGTATAAGAGCAAGAAGCCCTGAAGATGCCCACCTCAGCTGATTGTAAGTACTACTTAAATTCAAAGGGAAATTAAAAATAGCTGCCACTTTATTATTAAAGGGCTTTGCCCCTTGGTAAAGCAAATAAGACTATTCCCTGTGACTCAATAGGAGAAATTTTCATTCACTGAAGTTGCAGATTAGAGAAACTGGATTAAACAATGTGAAAGAAATTTGTTGTAGAAAGAAAGAAAAAAAAGTCACCCAAATGGAACTTGGCATTCTATTCTTATCTGGAGGGAAAAATTTAAATGCATTTTAAAGGAGTCTCTTAGTGGTTTCTAAATTTCTACATTCTGATTTGTGTGTTTAAACTTTGGGAAGCATTGAAAATGGCTCTGCTTTCAAATGAGTTGTGTGTACCTAAATCACACTGAATCTGCATAACAGTATAGATTATCTAGGGCCCACAAGCCAACTGCTTCTCTTTCAACATTAATGACTTGCTGACTTTTGTGCATCAACATTTAGATCTGGGTCCTTGGCATCCATGAGCAGCTCCTGCAGCCAGAGGAAGCACACATCTTTTCCCAGTGCCCCAGTGCTGGAGTGCAGGGAGGCTGTAACATGCTGCTAGAGGCTGTAATAACAACCACACATAGCACAGAGGGCCTCTCCCTGCTCATTTATGGCAGGGTCAGGGGAGAACAAAGGAGATTTAAAACTTGTTTCCCACTAATTCAACTGCTTCAATCCACTAAGCAGGATTCAGGTGCGGCTGAGGATTTCAGCACCTTCCTTGGAAAGTTTGCCCCTGGGCCATTAAAAATGGTTTGAATAATAAAATTGACTTGCCTCTTGGTGTCATTATACCCTCGTTTTCAGATCAGCGATTTTATGAAAAGATAATGCTGATAAAGATTTATTTTTATGAGATATTTTATGGCTTTTAAATATCATATGCAAGTTTTCAGCTCTTTGGCTTCTTGGAGTGCTGATTAGGATGGTGCTTCTTTTTTCCTTCTTTCCCCTGTTTCCAAAGCAACCATGAAATAAAATAGAAAAGCACACAGAGCCGAAGACATAAATTTTGAAGAAATAATTCTGACATGCAATTTTGGAAACCCTTTTCAGGTCAGTGTCATTTTTGTAATTGATGTTACCAGGTTTATTTGTCTTTGTATTTTCCCCTCAATAAACAATTCAAATATACTTCAAGCACTCCTTTCAAAAAAGGCAACTTGAAAACATGTCAAGCAGCTTGATTTGGAAGTTTTTTCAGGATTTAGACAGCTTGCATATTTTACTAAATTGTACACATTTTTTAAAAGCTACAATTCAACATAATGCTTCAACTGACAAGTATAGTAATAGGAAGTGTATACTTACATTTCAGCTCCAGTTTGATGAAGTCAGTGTTCCCCAGATTCTCAAGAAACACCCCATCTGAGGCTGATGTTTTGAAGTAGAAAGAGATGTCTGCACTGGTTTCCCCTTGGAAGGTGGAGAAGTGGAGGTAAGATGATGAAGTAATGAAAGAAGCTGCGTTCCAGTAATTCCCTGCAGAGGATAGACAGGAAAGATGTGTTTCAGTGCTCCCTTGAAGCTGTTGGAGAAGTTGGAGATTTTAAGGTTCATCTATGCTTCGGTGCTGTCTGTGCTGAAGAAAGAACCCCAAGCACCTTGATTCTTGCTATCTCCATTTTGTTTTTCTGGGCATGGTGTGTCACGTTTCAGAAGACAGAGCACGTTAATGGTAAATTTATTTTCAAGCTCTTAATTTATCATATCCAGTCATACTCAAATGTTGTTATTATATGTTTATTATAGTAAGACTATCATGGGAGATCATTCAGAGGGGCAAAACACTGACTTGACATCTGCTTCGCCTCAGGCACATGCTTTGCTTTCATATATTGCTGCATGTGTGACTTGTCTTCAAAATTATTCTACACACCTACACCCCCTCCTGAAAGTCTAGCCATGTCTATCAGAAGTAAATTAATTTAAATCACAGGAAATATCCAGTAAATGAAGCTAATCAATATAGACACAATTAACATATGCACCTAATAGTCCCCTATTACATTACCACTGGAGAAATATAATAATTAATAACATCCAAGAACTACTACTGTACTTAGCTAGAATGACAGTCAAATTCAGTGCAAGGTAGCATTACAATGCAATAAAGAAGTAATAAGATATAAGAGCAGGTAAGATTCTCTTAATAAGAAGATCATAAGATTCATAAGAGAAGGCTTTGGGGTGACCTAATTGCTGCCTTCAAGTACCTGAAGAGAGGTACAAGAAGGATGGAGAGGGACTTCTTACAAGGGCATGCAGTAACAGAGCAAGAGGGAATGGCTTCAAACTGATAGCCAGTAGGTTTAGATTAGAGATTAGAAAGAAATTCTTTACTCTGAGGGTGGTGAGGCACAGGAACAGGTAGCCCAGAGAAGCTGTGGATGCCCCATCCCTGGAAGTGTTCAAGGCCAGGCTGAACGGGATTCTGAGCAACTGGTCTAGTGGAAGGTGTCCCTATCCACTGCAGGGATGTTGGAACTAGACAATCTTTAAGGTTGCTTCCAACCCAGGCCATGTTATATTGATTCTATGATGATCATATAGGTGATAGAGTAAGCCAATGAGAGACTGAAACAGCTCATTTTGGTTTCATCAGAATGCTTAGGTATCCATCTTCAGAAATTTATTAGAATATCACTCATGATGTCATCACAGCTGAGCCCTTAGTATTCCAGCTAATAAACATGATACTACTACTTTCCTTTCCAGTCCAAAGTCCCAGATATTGGTTTTCTATTGTTTGATTACTGAAGTATGTGATAATGCTATTATTTGTCTGGTTAGCACTGGATGAATATGAATGAGGATGGCTGAAGTTTCAGAAGATCAGCTGTGATGATACATTATACTACTGACCCACACCCATTTCAGAAGTTTTATTATTTGAGTAATTATTAATCTCTATTCAATTTTAAATCGAACATCTGAATTAGCAGATGTTTTTAGGTATAAATAAAAGCATACTATTGCTTTCCATAGTACTATTCCATACCCTACATTATAATTCTGCCTCTCTCAAGGATTTAGGGTATTTGGAAAAAGAAGCCATTTTCCATTTAGTTCAATGCATCCCAAGAGGAAAGTTGTAATTGAGATTTTGTGCATGTATGTGTGTAAACACACATTTGAGCAGTGAAAATGGGAAGAAATAGGCATTCATGAAACAGGTATGGGTTTGTGAATTAACCAGTTAATCTAGATCAGCTAGTTTTCAATATGTATTACTATTTACCTTCCTTATACAAATGAGTAATTTCCAGATTGAACACTACTAATGATTTCTATAGAAAAGTCAATAATCTTCATATCATAAACCTGCATGGGCAAGAGATATCTGCTCATTATTTGCAAGTTTGTTCTTTGAAAACATACCTAGTGCTAAAGCAGCACAGATAAAAAAGGTCTTGAATTTTATTTTCATTCGTAGTCTCAGGTCTCATTTTCTGTCACTTTTCAAAGTGCTCTCTTAATATCAGGGTTGCTTACGGTCTAGATGCATGAGTGCTATGTCAATAATCTGTAAACACAGGGTCCAGATGGACTTTGTATATGCTCTTCCATTTGCAGATGTACCTGGACATCTCTATTTTATTTTCCTGGGACCTACAGATATGCTAGCTGCTGGCAGACCCTCAAAAAAGATTTTACTTCACTTGCTGAATAAACTCACATGAAATAAGTGGGACTCAGACAAAAAGCCAGGAATGTATTAATACAATCTCTGTTCAGGAGCCAATTTTGCTGCCCTAAATAACCTTGTAGAAATGCTTCAATTTTTTTTTTTAACTTAAATAAGTATTTTAGATCTCTAGCTTTATATTCCTTGAATATTACTAAACTTGTTAGCCTAAAACACATGACAAGTAAAATTGCTGTGAATGTGAGAGCTATAAAATTCAAGTATTACTGGAGACAAATCTCTCTTCAGTGAGAAAGGTGTCCAAGCCACCTCACTTCACCAAAAGAGAGCAATACAGTGCATTATTTTAATTAATATTTCAATAAAGTAAGAGTAGGACCTGCTATATGAAACAGCTATATATTTTGCAGCATTGTATTTACATATTTTTAATTATCTTACAAACTTGAAACCATTAAATGCAATTTGACATAGACTTAGTCTGCAAGGCCGGGATCCTGTGGGTTAAATCCTTAACTATAAGAGTGCATAACCCAAGGGCCAGTTTGCCTTTACAGGGCAGTAGTTTTCAGTTGTATGTGACCAGCTGGACATCTCAGAGTTTTTAGGATTGGTACTGTTTGTGGGTTTATCCAGCAGGGTGCAGCCCTATGGCAAAGATTTCACATTTTTACCACAGCACACTTGCAAGAAAGACTGCTGCTTCTGAGTGCCACTGCAGGGCCAGATAGGCAGGTGGGTTCAGATGGAGTCTTCATCACCTTCTTATTGAAACAAAATGAATCAATTTTTATTTAGGGCTACATTCAGCCTGCTGAAGAGCAGAAATCACTAAGGATTTTGCATTTAATTCAAAATGCTATGATTTGACTTTGCAGAAAACCTTGTCTGCAGATGTTATTGGTGAGATGATAAATATAAATGATGCAGACAGAATTGGAGAATCTGCACCTTGAGAGAGACATCTTCAAAGACTATTCATGAGAAATTCCTATGAAGATAAAATCATATTTTTGCACTCTAGTATACATTCATTTCAAATCAGTTAAGGGAGAAAAGTCTTTTTGTTAAGAGTACAATAGAAATGTTTTGCCAAACATAAATAATGATTTTTATCATAAAATGCTATCTTTTGATAACAAATGGGCTCCCTAAGGAAATACTGTACAAAAATCCACTTTACACACATTATTACAGTTTCTTGCTAGGAACTTTTATCAGTCACTATGCCTCAAAATTTCTTTGGTACATTGTCACAATTCTTTCCTCAAGTGGTTTGAACATATTGATCCTACAGGCATTTTTCTCCCACTTTAGGCTGACAAACTGTAGATGGAGAAAACTGGGACTGCAACTTAAACCACCGAGTAGAGGTATGGCAGCAGGAATATCAGACAGAAGGTGGGAAAGGGAGTTTATTTAGAAGGAACAATATAAATGGTAAGTTTTTATTTTAAAAACATACCAGAGTCTAAGGATAATTTTTATTGTATTATCTAAAATACAAAATTATAATTTTACTTTCTTGTTTGAAACCTCAGCTATAATTTTGTAATGAACACCACAGCTTTGTTGTGCAGTTCTGTTGGTTTAAACTCGCTTAGTGTTTAAATTTGATTTAAACCAATTAAACAGGTACAGAGCATGCTGCTGTCATGGAAGCACAAATACAAATCAATCAAGACACCAGACAAGCCTTTTCAGTTGTTTGCAGCTCAAGATAAATGTGGAGATCCGCAAGGCATGGCTGTGTTTTTCATAAAATTTCTTGGTGGTGGCAGTAAGCCTTAGGACACAGGGCACATGGAGGCAGGAAAGGGAATTGCTGACCACAGTGCCAGAGGAAACTGCCATGGATGTTTGCCTGGATCCAAGAAAGAATCAGAGTCGTAGCTGAGACAGAGGTGCTTCAATGCACCAAGTAACACTTTGTGATTCTATTTCAATTTGCGTCAAGGTTGCTCACAGCTCTGCCTCTCTGCTGTGAAAATTAAAATCCAACTAGTTAAGCTCCTGCAAAACACTCTTACTGCTTTCTCATTAGTTTTCCTAACTCTGAGCTATGGTGTTCTTTGTAATTTGTATGATACAAAAGTGTCTCTTCTACTGCTCCAAAAAGACTCAGTCTCAGACAGGTGGCTGCACTATAATTGCAAAGGTATAATTTTTACAAGAACAGTGATGGTCTGTAGCCACAAGAAACCAGCCCTACTACAAACGTTAATGAGAAGGGACATCTTAAATCTCAGATAAAAAGCTGAACTAAGACTTGAAGATTTTTCCCATGAAGTCCCACCTCAGTAAGAAGGAAGGAGACCCATAACACTGACAGGGACAAACACACTTTTTGATCTGAGTTATGCAACATGAACAGGCATCTTTTAATGTGTGGCAGCTCTGTAACTTGAAAATATAGAGTCACTGGCCTTATAGTAATCAGCCTTTCAGCATCTGCCTTGCAATATTTTTGTTCAGAGCTCCCTTGCTGGTTCCCATCAATATCTTTCTTAGCATGATTGAAATTCATGCTTTAACACCATCAATTTCACTTTTACATTTAAACCCCATTGAAATGGATAATGGCAATACCAGAACTGTAAAAGACATCAGTGCTTTTAGCCCTGCTAGGCAATCGCACTAGAGAACGAATGCTGCAGTGTCAGGCAGCTCTTATGTATTACAATAGACCAAAAACCTCCAGGGCCCTCATCTGCAGCAAAACAGATTTTCTATCAAAACCATTATGTGAATAAAATGTAAGAATAGTCTTCTATTTCAGAGGAGATGGATATGTGAATGGAAAACTGTTCTGTGGCACAAAGTAATGGATTGA